CATAGTTTAGCTGCTTATCCAAACATGACCTCAACAACAAATACTAGTTGAAAATTTTTTAATAATATCCATCACCTATTAAGATGACTTGAAAATCCCCATTCCAAACCTTCAATTATTATTCTGTTAAAAAGTGATTTTAGGTTTTGTGGATGAATATTTTCTAGATAGTTTTAATTTAATGGTTAAAAATCATGTAAAGGACAGTGATTGTATGTTTCAGTAGATGAAAAAGGCCAGGGATATTTTTAAAAGCTAAAATAGTTTGGGTTACTATGCAACATTTCAAGGGCCTTGCTGTAGGCTATAATCATACTGTTTTAATGGTTCTCTTTTTAAAATGCATTCATAACGCTTTGTAACATTAGAATTACTAGAAGCATGCATATAATGGTAATGCTAATGTTACTGTACATTTAAATGGAGCTCTACAGTTCACAAAGCAGGAACAGCAATGCTAGAACACTTTTCTAATAGCAAAGCAATATGTCTCCAACTGGGGAGTTCCCTGGATGGTTGTAAAGAAGCTGCAAGGGGATCCAGGAGGAAAGAGTAGCTGTTTGAAATGGAGGAAAGTAGCAAAAATCAAAGTAGGTTGCTAGAGGAGGCTTCAAGGCCACTGCTATCTCTCTTGTAAGTATAGACCCAGAAAGTTAAAATGACAGATATAAAAGTTGGTGATGAAGGGAAACAAAATAAGCCACCCCAAAATATGCAACACTGACATATTATTTTGAACTGCAGACACTTGAAAAACAGCAAATGCAGGGAGAGGCTTTCTCTGAACTGCTTTTATTTGCCTAAAGATAAATCTTCCAAAAGGAACTTAATCGTCATAAATTCTGTCCCTGGGAGTTTCATCATCCAAGGAATATTGACTCATCACAGAAGAGACTGGAAGTCAACACCATACAACTTCGTCACCAACTATCATACTACCCTTCTATTCTTCTAAAGGTCTTTGCTAAAAATCATTTGTGTCTGTGCCTAGTCACTCAGTCGTGTCTGACTCTTTGCAACCCCTTAGACTGTAGCCCGCCAGGCAAGAATACTGGAGTGGGTTGCCCTGTCCACCTCTAGGGTACCTTCCTAACCCAGGGATTGAACCCAGGTCTCCCACATTACAGGCAGATTCCTTTTACCATCTGAGCCACTGGAAGCCCAAGGAGGAGGGGATCTTCCGACCCAGGAATCAAACTGGAGTCTGCTGTGTCTCCTGCACTGCAGACAGGTTCTTTACTTTCCCCCAAATGGCCGTAACCCCCTCCCATTCCCTATTTACATAGTATTGCATCCTGAATTCCAACTTCTCTGAGTTACTCAATTTTCCCTGGGTATCTCCCTTGTATGCATAAGGCACACATGTCGATAAACTTGTTTTTCTCTTCTTAATCTTCCTTTCATTATAGAGGTCTTAGTTAAGAACTCCTTCCCTAGTGTAATTAATGCAAAAGATCAGAGATAGCAAGGACTTCAGGGTGACTATGCAGATATGAGTAATCAATATAGAGGGAACTTAACCAAGTACTTCCCCCCTCCCATACTAACATTCCAAGAGTCTATCAGTTTTTATAATTATATCAAGCCTCAAGTTCAAAAATTCTTCCTGATTATATTACTCATTTTTTTCAAAACAATTTTATTTAAAAATTGCGGTGTTCATAAGATTGTCAACTATCAAGATTTTGTATCCCCAGGTCTCAAACACCAAATGTTCCAATGCAATAAGTTTAGGGTTGGGTCTGGAGTTTGCATTTTTTAAGACAAGAAGCCTCTGGTAATTTTAATTCTAATAGCATCACATTTTGAGGAGCACTGACCCATAGTACCTGACATACTGCCTAGGGTACAGGAGATACTCCATGAATAGTTGCATTGACTTATTTATCTGTTTTGAGATCCCATGGTTTGGTTGGGATAATTCACTCCCAATAAAATTATCCACTGTGCACAGTAAACAGGTCTGAAGTTTTTAGACCATATTTCATGCAAAACTTTGTATTGAGTATCTGATATTAGCCTGATCTAAGCAAATATATATAAAGGCAGTATAGTTGTCCTTCAGTATTTGGAGAGGATTATTTCCAGGAATCCCAAAATCCAGGGTTCTTTGTATTCCTTCTATAAAATGATGTAATATTTGCATATAACTTACACATATCTTGCCATATACTTTAACTCATTTCTAGATTACTTTTCATACCTGATACAATATAAATACTATGTAAAAAGTTGCAAATGCAATGTAAATACTATGTAAATAGTTGCAAGCATGCATCAAATTCAACCTCCAACTTAATCTGGGATTAATCTTTTTGGAACTTTCTGGAATTTTATTTTTTGAATGTTTTCTGTCCATAGTTGGGTGAATCCATGGGTGCAAAACTCATGGATATAGAGGACTAACTGAGTTAAGATGGCTTCCCAGGTGGCTCAATGGCAAAGAATCCACCTACCAATGCAGGAGCCAAAAGAGATGCAAGTTCAATCCCTGGGGTCTGGAAGGTCCCCTGGAGGAGGAAATGAAAACCCAATCCAGTATTCTTTCCTGGAAAATCCCACTGACAGAGGAGCCAGGTGGATTACAGTCCACAGGATCTCAAAGAACTAGACACTACTGAGCACACACACAACTGAGTTAAATATATTAAATATTTACTTACATTTTCTTCCCCTATATTTATGTTTGGATGTCCCATTCTTTTTCCAATGTAAGATTTTTCTAGTTTTGTGGATTCTTAAAATTTTGGTTCTTTGTTCATCTTAATTAATGTATTGCACTATAAGAATTTATTTTGTATATAATGTGACTGCAGTCATGAAATTAAAAGACGCTGCTTGGAAGAAAAGCTATGACAAAACTAGACAGCATATTAAAAAGCAGAGACATCACTTTGTTGACAAAGGCATCACTTTTTATATAAGACATCACTTTGTATAGTCAAAGCTATGGTTTTTCCAGTAGTCATGTACATGTGTGAGAGTTCGACCGTAAAGAAGGCTGAGTACCAAAGAATTGATGCTTTCAAATTATGGTGCTGAAGAAGACTCTTGAGAGTCCCTTTGACTGCAAGAAGATCAAACCAGTCAATACTAAAGGAAATCAACTCTGAATATTCATTGGAAAGACTAATGCTGAAGCTGAAGCTCCAATACTTTGGCCACCTGATGCAAAAAGCTGGCTCATTATGAAAGACTCTGACAGTGGGAAAGATGGAAGGCAGAAGGAGAAGAGGATGACAGAAGACGAGATGTTTGTATGGCATCATTGATTAAATGGACATGAGTTTGAGCAAACTCCAGGAGATAGTGAAGGACAGGGAAGCCTGGCGTGCTGCAATTCACGGGGTCACAAAGAGTGAGACATGACCGGGCTGCTGAGCAACAACTTCTACTCTCTAGGATTTTCTGCGCATATGGTCACATGATCTGCAAATAGAAATAATTGCACTTCTTCCTTTCAAATTTGTATATTTTTCTCTGTCTAATTACTCTAGCTAGAACTTCCAGTACTATATTGAATAGAAGTGGTGAAAATGGATATCCTTACCTGTTATCTTCACAGATGCTAGAGGGAAATAGGACTGCTTCTAGGACTGCAGCCAGGACCACAGTGGGCCAGCAGGCCACTGGGGTACATGCCTCCTTCTGAAAGCATCCTACATCAGCCTTACACTCTGCCTGAGTTTTTTCAGCCTGGGTCCCAAGCCTCCCACAAAGGCACTTTTGTTTATGGATGGCTACTACATTGATATTTTTATAGGGATATGAAGGCCCTGGTGGCTCAGATGAAAAGAACCCTACAATGCAGGAGACCCAGGTTCTATCCCTAGGTTGGGAAAATCCCCTAGAGAAGGGAATGACTACCCACTCCAGTATTCTTACCTGGAAAATTCCATGAACAGAGAAGCCCGGCAGGCTACAGTCCTTGGGGTTCCAAAGAGTTGAACACAACAGAGCATCTAACACACTTGAAGCGGGGGGACCTTCTGTTCACCCATTTTGCTAACATCATTCCCTCTCCCTATACTTATATATTTTTTTCTTTTTCCCTTATCATATTTACCAAAATATTGCTTTCCCCTCAAATAAGTAAATAAGCAAACAAGAAACTAAACACACTGAATATTTGATTTAATTATTAGTTCCATCTATTTTATAAATTAAGTTTCATGTTATATATAATAATTTTCTACATTAACTTTATTAAGATCTGTTTTTATTTTTGTTAAACTTATGAGTGATAACTAATGGGAAAAGGGATAATCACTGAAAGATATTATGAACAACCCAGAAGAAATCATGTTCCCTACATGGTGATAGAGAAGGTTGTATAATTTTTATCCTCATTGCAGCACCTACCAAATTTGACTACAACATTACCATAGGTCACACTTGACAACAGATTAACTTAGAAGGACATAGGACAAGAAATCTTGCCAGCCAGGCCGTGTTAGTTATTTTTCTTAAATATGAGTTGTACTTACAGAATTCATTTAGAGTACAGGTCACAGACAGGAAGATAATACCCATGTTGGGCAGTGCAAAAGCCGACGTGGCTTAGAAGCCTAATAATCTGAAGGAGCCAATATGTCTTATAACAACTCCAAAACCAAGCACAATTTCCAGGGTCCTGAGAAACACAAGGCCAGCTGTATAAGAACTACCGCGCTCAGAGGAGATCAGAGGCATGGCTTCCTTCCCTGCATTTTCTGTTCCCCCGATTCAGATGACATTTACTGCTCAGGGGTCATTTTACTATAAGCCGTGTGCCTGGAAACATAGCTAACATTCCAACTTCATTGCATTTCCAAGAGAGCAGAGCTATAAATTAACCAAAAGTCAAATTCTCATTCAGGATACGTGTTTAGTTTGAAATACTGGCCCTATTATTGTTCACACTGTTAAATGTATGGCAGTTTAACATTTTTTTATCCTGTCTATATGACTAAATTCCAACCTTAAACCTTTTTCCTCTCGTGTTCTTCATATTTGCACAGGTGAAATATGGAAATTATGCTTTTGTATGGGATGCAGCTGTATTGGAATATGTGGCAATCAATGACCCAGATTGTTCCTTTTATACCATTGGGAATACCGTTGCTGATCGAGGATATGGAATTGCATTACAGCATGGCAGTCCTTACCGGGATGTTTTTTCACAAAGGTAAGATTTGTGTGCAGTTCCAATAAGAAGAGAGAAAATATAGAAAAAGAAAATTCACTTGGTTACTCCATTTAGTTTATTACATTTTGTTTTCTTTGTTTGGAAAACCACAATAAACAATAGCATAAAAGGGAAGTCATGAATGGTTGTACAATAAAACGTTCATTTCCTAAAGCATGTACTAAAATATTATTTTTCCCATTAAAAGAGAAAAGTTATTGCTGCATATAACTAGTTATTCTCAAAAAATTGATACAGAAAATAAAATAAAAATGTAATTGAGTTTAGTCTCGGAGAATTTTTAGGGACTAAAAATGTCATAAAGCAAGCAAAATTAATTCATTTCTAAAAACTGCCAAAGCATAAAGTAAACTTCAGGACCAAGTTAAAATTCTGAAGTACATACTGATAGGGATGTTTCCATCTCAGTTTTGCAAAGGGAAAACGTGGGAATTTTAGTCTTGTCATTTGCTGTCAAAGCACACATGAGACTTTGTCATGGAAATTTAGGAGTCAATTTATTAAGAAGTTATATTCATCCTGAAATCAGAATTTTCTATGTTATTTAAGAAAGAAGATTTTAAAATGTATATTTTGGATTAACAATGTAGATGAAAGCATTGGACCTGAAAGGTGTTTTAAAAATCATTGCATTTTATTTTTTCTACTACCAAACAAGCTTGAACCTAAAAGAGTGTAATACCTTTCAGGTAGAAATATGTTCCACTTGACACTGATAGTTCTTTTGGTTTATTACTAGATATTCTTTAGGTAAAAGACAGATAAAAGAGAGCAGTACTGAGTAGTAGTCTAGTACTAAGGCCCCAAATTTGAGTGATATTCCCCCAAATTTCCAAGATAACAAAAAGCCAGGTATTTTGTGTTTAACAAAACAAGTCAGTAGTTCAAATATTTGTTGTGATTCTTCTGTTAGCTACTAAAAACCTAGAAGTCTCTCCTTATCAGCAAATGAGGATGTTAAATCAAGTCTAAGGTCCTACATTAGTCACCTTTTCTGTGTGGCAAACAACCCAAAGTACCAATGACTTGAAAAAAGCTATTTCTCATTCATGGAACATAAGGGCTGGGATTTGGCTGAAGTCTGCTGGGAGTTGTGGGTCAACTGCAGGTCCCTGCACGGCTTCTTGTCCCAGGGACCAGGCCAGAGAAGCAGTCCTATCTGGGATAAGCTGTTTTCATTTCAAAGAGAACTTGTGAAAGAGGCCAGCAGAACCCTGGCGCCTCCTGTGCTTCTTGCATGGGTGTGGCATCACCTCTGCTCATAGACCACTAACTAAAAAGAGTTTCATGGCCAAGCTCCGAACAATAATATAACTTATTAATGGTTCCTCTGGGGACCATTTTAAGTGTAAGATAATCAAAATATACATAAATTGGCAAGTAACATATTAAGGTACAAATGAAGTTTATCAATTAAAGCATATTTTATGATGAGTATATTCTAGGGGAATCTACTTGAAAATCACTTGTGGTCTCAGTTCAGTTCCAATTGCTCAGTCGTGTCTGACTCTTTGTGACCCCATGGACTGCAGGCATGTCAGGCTGCCCTGTCCATCACCAACTCCCAGAGCTTGCTCAAACTCATGTCCATCGAGTTGGTGTTGACATCCAACCATCTCATCCTCTGTCATCCCATCTCCTCCAGCCTTCAATCTTTCCCAGCATCAGGGTCTTTTCCAGTGAGTCAGTTCTTCTCATCAGGTGGCCAAAGTATTAGAGTTTCAGCTTCAGCATCAGTCCTTCCATTGAACATTCAGGACTGATTTCCTTTTGGATGGACTAGCCGGATCTCATTGCAGTCCAAAGGACTCTCAAGAGTCTTCTGCAACACCACAGCTCAAAAGCATCAATTCTTTGGCGCTCAGCTTTCTTTATGGTCCAACTCTCACATCCATATGTGACTAATGGAAAAACCATAGTTTTGACTAGACAGACCTTTTTTGGCAAAGTGATGTCTCTACTTTTGAGTATGCTGTCCAGGTTTGTCATAACTTTACTTCCAAGGAGCAAGCATGTTAATTTCATGACTATAGTCACCATCTGCAGTGATTTTGGAGCCCAAGAAGATAAAGCCTGACACTGTTTCCACTGTTTCCCCATCTATTTGCCATGAAATGATGGGACCAGATGCCATGATCTTCATTTTCTAACTGAAGAAAAAAGACCTGTGCATATGAAACAATGAACAACACAGACATTTCTATCAACATGTACTGACATTTATCAGTATTGCTTATTTATACTGGGTTAAATTGTGTAGTTGAGATATTGAAAAAATTGCATCCCATACAGAGTAAAGAGTTAATCCAAGGAAATAAGAATGAAAACTCTTCAAAGGATGTGAACCTTGGACTTGACCTTGAAAGAATAGTAGAAAATAATTATGCTGAAGGAAAAAAATAGGGAATTCTTGGAGAAACAATGAAAACAACAGAACAGAAGTAGGAGAGATCAGAATGTATTGGGTAACAATAAAGACATCAAGTTAATCTGAAAGAAAATTTGAAGTTTAGAATTCATATTGTAGGCTCCAAGCTGCTACAAGAACCTATTGCTCATTCTGGATCCCGGGAGTAAAATGGTGATGATGGTATTTAAGGGAAAGTTAATCTAGTTTTGATGTGAAGGATGGATTTCAGCAAAGACTAAAACAAACCAGGATGCATAAGGTAATGAAGTCTGATCTAGAATGGGGTCAAGAGAATTGAGGAGGAAGGTCCAAGTAGAAGAGATGTTTCTGATCAAAGAGGCACACCGTTATTTCTAATAAATATAGAAGAGAGAATGGAAAGCAAAATGGAATGAAGGGGATGCCAGGGTTTTATGGTATAAGGCCAGCAGAAAAGTTTAAGGGATGCTAAATATGAACCAGGTCTTCAAGAAAAGGATTGTTTACTCATTAGTTGCAGTTAATTGGCCTTTTCTTCACTATAGATATTTTTTGTTTCTATATTTGATTTCTAGGTCTTTTATGCAAAAAAAAATGAAGGCAATAAAATCACTACACAAACATAATAGCAATTAAAGAAATATTTAATCAATCACACCAACTGTTCCATTTCTTACTCTCCCTGTGGCACTTTACCTTATGAAGATTTTAATTCTGAGTCAATATGTTTTGGTGATCTACTGGAAAACAATATTGAGCATTGAGCATTATTTTTCCTTTGTTTGATTTCCACTATGGATGCTGACAGTTTAAATTGTCTTTTTCTGGGGGGCTCCTTAATAATGACACTCTGCCTCCTGGTTACCTGGACATCTGGAAGAAGAGAGAGCCAGGAAAGAAACATAATCTGGCTTCCCCTCTCTACACACATACCATGTTAAACTATCACCCAAACTCTCTCCTTGAACCCAGAAAACCTCTAAATTCATTCCCTGTGACTCTAGCCATTAGGGAAAAGAGAACTCTTTTTTATTAACTGATTTAAAAGTTATAGAGACCATCACACTTAATAATTGTGTTATCCTTTACCAATTATTATAAATAGTTTTAATACAGCAACTTATCCTGGACTACTGATTAGACTGGATCGCTGATTGCTCATGTGACTATATTCCATGAAATAATAATATTCACAGTGATTTTTACTAAATAAATACTAATTAGTTCTCAGGTGACTATGCTCCTGAACCACAGATATAAGATATAAAGTACTTTAATATGTAATAAATATAAATATCTAAAATAAATATTATATAGTGCTTTAGTAACTATATTTATTGTCTGCTCTCTGCCCAATGTCTTATACACTTATACATTTTAATGACTTCAGACCAATCACATGAATGTTGTGTATTTGTTTATTACATACTTACATATTAGTGCACAACGGTTGCTCTACAGGTACATACACTGAGTGAATGAGCCTGAAGTTGGCAAGCATCGTCTTAGGCACCAGCATCATGGGTTGTAGTGACACGCTCACTTGTACAGTTGCACGTGAGTAGACATGCAGAGGACCAGTAAGAGCTACAATAGATGACTGTAGATTTCGATAGAAGAATTTTGTTTCCTGTTGTTGTACGACAGTCGCTAAGTCATATCCGACTCTTTGCAACCCCATGGCCTGCAGGACACCAGGCTTCCCTGTCCTTCACTATCTCCCAGAGTTTACTTAAACTCATGTCCATTGAGTCGGTGATGCTATCCAACCATCTCATCTTTATAGCCCCCTTCTCCTGCCTTCAGTCTTTCCCACCATTAAGGTCTTTTTCGACAAGTTGGCTCTTCACATGAAGTGGCTTCAGCTCCAGTACTTCAGAGTACAAATACTAGGTAACTTGGAAGCAGAAGTTATTTATATATCTCACCAAATATATGGATCAGAGTACTAGTGTGGCCAGTAATGTTTGTAATGATTTCTCTGAAACTATTTGTGCATCAAATGTCTTGTGTGGCCTTTGTCTTATAATAGTTCTTAGTGTAAGAAAATCATCAAAAGTTATTACATTAAAGATATTTAAGAATGGAGGAGAACTGAATTTTTCACTGATATCATTATGCCATTAATAAAATTAATTCCAGTGTATCTTAGAACCTTAATTAGTCACAAGGCTAAAAAGATAACAAAAAATATTTACTGAGGGTTTAGTACAAGTGCACCTCTGTTTTCAAGCCTTAGAGGGTGTCAAGGAGTCCCTTTTTGCCTATTGGCTACTAATCCTTAACTTTGGGAATAGAACCATCTACTGGCACAAAAACAAGGACATATTTCAAAGTACATCGAGAATGATTTTGTTGAATTCATGGATAGTGGCAAAGATGCATAAGCACTATCTCAACCATGTCACAGAGTTTCAGAATTTTTAGAAATGAAATGAGCAGTAGTTCCCTTTTCACCAGGGTTGTAACTATTCCAAAGGGGTACATGATTTGCTCAGAAACACAAAAAAATCAGTAAAACTGGCAATTGTTTGATTTTTTTTTTCACTTCTGTGTTTAGTTTTCTGGTGATTATGCACTCTGTCTTCCC